TGATGCTGGCCAGTACAGCGGTGGTGGTAGAAGCCTCTTCTGCCTCCTCAGCAGCGCTAAGGATGTCTAACTGCAGCTTAGGCCTGCTCCTCACTGGCAAGTGGACATTCCCCAAAGGCTCCCGGGCTGCCAGAGTGATGTCTGACTGCCAGCTTAGGCCCAATTCCCCCGGGAGTGGACCTAAACCAGCAGGTGGTCATCCCCCAAGAGGTCCAAGACTGCAAGAGGGCACAGGCCAGGCTGAGGCACTCCCCCCACTCCAAGTGCACAAATTTTTGTGCACCGGGCCTCTAGTTGGTTAATAACATAAGTTTCACTACCTAGTCTAATCTCCTTCTGCCCCATATAGTTGACCCCCTTTACCCTCTTCATCCTCTTCCCCTCTAGTAATGACCATATTGATTGTGTCTATGAGTTTGTTTTGTTTGTTCACTTGTTACTTTTTGTTTTATATCTCATGAGTGAAATCATACGATTCTTGTCCTTTTCACCTTATTTATTTCACTTAGCATGATACTCTTAAGATCCTTCCATATTGACACAAATGGCAATATTTCATCTTTTTTTTATGGCTGAGAAGTATCCCACTGTATATGATTTTACCTAAGATTTGTTTTAGCATAAGGTTCCATTGCCTTTCAAAAGTTTTCAAAGCACTAGTTTCAGGTCTGGATATAATATTCTCTTTACTCCTAGTTGTAGAATTTCCACTCAGCCAGCCCGCCTGTGTTTCTGGATGTTGTGGGTCCCTGGTTCAAGCATGATTTGAATTGGTTGTTCAAGGCGGCAATTTCCGGCGTTATCCTATGCCGCCATCTTCGGTTCTCCTCACTTAGCATGATACTCTTAAGATCCTTCCATATTGACACAAATGGCAATATTTCATCTTTTTTTTATGGCTGAGAAGTATCCCACTGTATATGATTTTACCTAAGATTTGTTTTAGCATAAGGTTCCATTGCCTTTCAAAAGTTTTCAAAGCACTAGTTTCAGGACATTTATATACTTCAAAAATGTATATAACAAGACAAATGAGAATGCAGAAAATATGTCCTTAAACTTAAGTAACTAACTTACTCCATTGCAGAAAGATCCATATCAACTTCCTCTCCATTCATCAGTGGAATTTTCTTCTTCTTATTCCTACATTTAAGAAAAATTAAGTTTGAAATTGTGACATTTTCAGTTCTGAGAAGAGATAAAGAGCAGCCGAAAATCAAGGATTTCATGCAACATTGAAACATAGCCTAAGGAAGAAGGAATAGTAAATGTAATGGAATTTAATCACAACAAAACTGATTTTGAAGCTGAAGGAATGAAGTAAATGAAATTGAGATGTCACTGTGATCAAAGTTTAATGGAAAGAAGAATATAATTAAATGTCAACTTTAAACATATTCCCAAGAACTGGTAGCTACAGTTTTATGTAGAAAAGATAAGAAAGCTATCAATAAAGAAATCCTTTAATTTTTTTTTTAAAAAAGAAAGAAAAGAAAATGCAGCACTGGCTGGTGTGGTTTAGTTGGTTGAGTGCCATCCCATGCCCCGCAAGGTCAGTTGATTCCCCTTTAGGGCACATGCCCAGGTTGTGGGTTCAATCTCCAGTGGGGATGTGTATGGGAGGCAACTGATTGATGTCAAAGGTAGAGAGCATAAAAAGAAAGAGGGCCTGGCCGGTATGGCTCAATGATTGAGCATTGACCTATGAACGAGGAGGTCACAATTCAATTCCCAGTCAGGGTAGTCAGGGTACATGTCCGGGTTGTGGGCTCGATCCTCTGGCATGCAAGAGGCAGCAGATCAATGTTTTTTCTCTCAATTGATATTTGATGTAGTACCGTCTGTTTATTTTTGCTTTTGTTTCCCTTGTCTTTGAAATCATATAAATAAAAAAAAAACAAAACAGCCCTAACTGGTTTGGCTCAGTGGATAGAGCGTCGGCCTGCAGACTGAAAAAAAAAACAAAACATATTTTTTTAAAAAGGGGGAAATTTCCCTTTGAACTAAGAAAGAATTTTCAGAGAAAGAATAATTACAGATTCAAGGAAATGATTGGGGGAAATTCCTGAATCAAGTTCCCTGAAAGCTGTCAAAATCAACTGACACGCTCACGTCTGAGATGACCTAAATGTAGACATGAGTATAGACTTCTGTTCCTGGAATTTTGATATTACTACACATTACTACAGCAAAGCATAAAATTATGCTCATCTTTCACTGTTCAGAGTACATGCTACTGGCTGAGTTTAAAAAAAGTGATAAAGAAAAATACATTAAATAAAACATGAACTGTTGGACATCTCTAAGTAAACTGGTATTGTGCCTTTGAGACAGTAAGATTGTTCTGTAAGGGCATAATGATGCAGGGACAGGGGAGAAAGCCACATGGTGTAGACGATGTAGGGGCTTTCATGACATATGTATTCAGGTCCTTCCTTTATACCCAATGATCATTTTCCCAATATTTCCTCTAGATATTAATCCATTGAAACTAATAAGAATAAAACTAAGCAATTTATCTTGAATTTTTCCTTGCTCCAAAAACTCAAACTTCTATTCCACCTCCTCCTGTCCCTACAAAAATAAGGATTTTCAAGCCTAAATTGGAAAATTAATTATTTAATTCTAAGGTAAAAAAATGTTGTCAAAAAGAAAAAGCAAATAAAGAATGTTTGGTAATGCTAACTTGAAGTAAAATGGCGGGGCGGGGTGGGGGGGTACTAGATAGTATGTTCTCTACCTAAAAAATAGGTACACATTAGGATTTTTATTTTGGCATTTTAATCTGTGAAACTTACAATTTAATTATAAACTTCAACTTATAAGTATGATTCAATGCCTACCTTCTGCTTTTGGAATGGCAGGGTATATCATGTTTAAGGCTGTTTTCTTCAATTTGCAATGTATGATTGAAGGATCCATCTAACTCCTGCACTGTCACTTTAAGTGGTCCCTTTAAATTAAAGAAACATAATGTTCATAGATAGTGCTAGAAAAATACCAATATGTACTCTTACATGTGTAGGTATATGTATCAAAATATAAAATAATACTATCCAAGATGTGTATCTGAAGACCAAGAAAAGCAATTAGTGCCAGAGGGGAGAATTTGTATCCTCTGAAATCTCCATTTGTAATCTGTCTTCCATTCAGCAACACTTGGTTTTTGGTCAATTTAATTCTTTGTAAACAAAATCACATTATGAAACTTCGAATCAGATCCCCACTCAAAAGCCCTTCCTATATTGTAACTGGGGAGGAAGTACTACAAAAGGTAATTTTAGAAAAAAAACTTACCACATATTTCTGAGTTCCAGGTGATGTATAATCTTGTTTTATTTCCAATTCCAAGACATTTCGTTTTCTATTAAATGCAAAACTTCCATAAAATTTTACCACACCACTCTGGTCTCTGAAGAATCGTCAAGGAATTTTTGCATACTAAAATGAATATGTACTAAACAAATTATTCACTGTGGTAATAATTTTCAAATGCATTACCACCAATTCAAAGCTTGAGAGCATGCTTCGTTGTAAAGCAGGTGGTAAAGTATTCAGAATTCTTGTGGAAAATGTTTCCCCAGATTGAAACAGAATTTCTGAAACATTAAGAAATTTGTGTTTTGAAAGAAGTAAAACCACTCTACTGGGTTGCTAATATAATCAATGAGAAAATGTAAAAACTAAAAAGTTCCAAGATACTACTCAAGTTGTGCCAACTTCTAACCATATCCATAAGTCACCAGAACATTGCATCTTACAAGTAACTGTACAGGCCTGTCTGAATTATTTACCTCCCCTCCCATCAAGCCTGTTGCTGTACTCACACTAAAAACTACTTCAAAATATACCAAATTTTACAAATAGTACAGATGTGTGTATATAAGAGAGAGAGAGAGGGGTATGATTTATAGTTCTTGGTTATTTTTACTATTCTTTAGAAATACAGTTTTTCTCTCTCCTTTCATCCCCCAAATCCCTCCTCTTCCTCCCTCCACTCACACATACAATCTTCTCCCCCTGCCCCCACCACTTGTTGAACTGCTATTTAAAAGGATACACCCACTGCTTTATTAAAGGCTGAATGTCTTTGCCAGAGACATTCGAGATGGATTTCAAAAACCCAAACGTGGAAACCAACATTTGACTCCACATATGGGACTGGAACTCTTGAGATGAAGCAGTACTAGCCAAACTTAGCAGTTTATTGAAAACCTGTAAGGATAAAAGTATAATTTAGTAACATAATATACATTGCTTTCAATTATCTACGAAACCACTTTGCAACAGAACTTTATTACAGTCAATTATAGAAGACAGCAATTTCACATCTTACTCTATAAATTGTTCTAGTTAAAGACTATCAATAGAAGTTATGCAAAGAATTAAACAGCCAGAATAAAAACCATTTTTCTTTTAAATAAAATTGAATTTTAATGTCTTGGCCAACACTGAATATTGTTTTTAAGATTTATAATAATATATAATATCTATAATTTGTTATGCTATGAGCTTTACATAGAAACTAAACATTACTTAAGAAGTTGAGAACACTCAATAGGTTTTATAGTACTCCAAAAAGCTAAATGGCTCTTGATGGATCACCTTTCATTTAATATCTGTGTTCTTTACTCTAAAGGCAAGCTGAAGAACAGAAGCATTAAATAAACTTAATTTTAGGGCAAACTTTAAAGGTTTTTTAAAAAAAGATTACTAAAAAGTTATTTTTTACTTACCTCTAAGAATGTTATTAATGAGGAAAAAATACATTTTTTTCCTCATCGTAATACATCTGGTTTCTACTTCCTCAACTACTATCTATCTATATAATAGAGGAATATGCAAATTAGCGTGGACGCCGTAATATCGCGACGGGACAGCAGAGACCTGAGGCTTTATGGCACCTGGCCAGGGTGAGGGACCTCAGGCTGTGCCCCTTGCCCGGCAGGGCTTGATGGTGGACCTCAGGCCGCACCCCCACCCCAGCACCAGGCCGGGAGACCTCAGGCCATGGGGCTTATACAAAACCATTATGTATAAATTGGTTTTACTTTCATCCTCACATTCTAATTTTATCTGAACAATAATCCTGCACTAAGTGTCAAGTATTGATACCCATTCTATATCTGAGGAAACAAACAAAAAGCATTGGTCTAAGTGGGCTAACAGCTAACAACTAATAGAACTCCACCTCATAAACCCAGATACCCTGACCCTATTTACAGAATAGTATTCATATTATACACAAACAGATCTTTCTTTATAATTGGTCAATTCTTAACTTTAATACTTACTTGTAGCATAAATTCCATACTGATCCTATTTTCAATCAATCTCATTACAAGGTGAGCTTTACACTGGAACATAGTGTAGTACTCCCAAGACAGCGTATGTGGATGCTTTATTGAAAAGTATAGATGGGATGCCGGACTAAACAAATAAACAGATTTACTTAACATAACAATTTTAAATATTTAGTAAACAGTACATTTCATGGCCACATCAAGACAATAAATATAAAACTTCTTGGGAATACCTTAGTATGAGAGCAACAAAGACTAGGGTACATACACTCACAAAAAAATTTTAAGCCCGGCCTGTGTGGCTCATGGTTGAGTGTCCACCTATGATCCATGAGCTAAGGGTTTGATTCCTGGTCAGGGCACATGCCCAGGTTATGGGCTCAATCCCATGCAGGAGGCAGCCGATCAATGATTCTCTCTCATCATTGATGTTTCTGTCTCTCTTTCCTTCTCCCTTCCTCTCTAAAATCAATAAAAAATATTTTTAAAAACTCAAGATGAACTGCATATCTAAAACAAAAACAATTATAAAAGTACTAAAATAAATAAAAGGAAAACATTTATTTCCATAATTTAGGGGTGGAAAAAATCTTATATATATATATATATATTTACTGATTTCAGAGAGAAGTGAGAGATAGAAACATCAATGATGACAGAAAATTACTGATCAGCTGCCTCCTGCACATCCCACATGGGATCAAGCCTACAAACCAGTAAATGCCCTGACCAGGAATCGAACCATGACCTCCTGGTTCATAGGTTGATGCTCAACCACTGAGCCACGCCAGCCAGGTGGGAAAAATCTTCCAAAAGAAAAATATAAAATCCAGAGGACAGTAAGACCAGATTGACTAAGTAAAAATTTAAGAGATCAGGAGTAAATTAAAAGAAAGGTACAGTCTAGTAGAATTATTGAATACTATTTTGTAAATGTCATATAAACATAAGTAAAGGCAAAAAAACTAAATGTTTCAAATATATTTGAAAGACAATATAGCACATTTATAATCGTGGTTATATCTCCACGGAGAGGTTTTGTAGGAATGAGGGGTGATAAAAAAAAGGGGTGGGGGGGGCCTAAAAAGGATCTTTATGTTTTACTCCACATACTTTTACACTGTCCTGTTTTATATTTCTTAAAAGAGAATGTATTCATGTGCTGCTTTTATATACAAATTTTTAAAATTAAACATACAACAAGAACTAAATAAATGGGCAAAACCAAAGTATTTTCACACAATGGGAATGCTCTAATTATATACTGGGAAACAGCCATATGGCAGGCAGCCAAGAGAAGAAAGTGAAAGAATTAATGAGTGAATGTGCACTATGTATGAAGGTGTATCTCAAATAATTTCACAACCAACCTGGTTAAGATAGATTATGAATCATCACTGTCACTTTACACATTAAAATACACACACACACTTTCTCTGCAACAATATGCAAACTTTTCTTAGATTACCAACAATGATAAAAAAAAATCCAAGTTTGTCTTACTTCAAAATTTCTATGCTTTTCCACTGACTTAATCTTGTCTCAGTGACCATAACAAAAAAGGGCTCCTGGTTATACAATTTCAAGTTTCTTAACTTTTGTTGTGTTTTCAGGCACTTGGGCAGTTTGGTTGATTCTATGGGCCCCGTATAAGAAACGAGTTCAAAATGCACAAAATAAAATTTACAGAATTATAAAGAAAACCAATTATAGTGAAATGATCAAAATATAAAAAAATTATGATATACCAATATGTGAGTGAGCTTATCAATGTATTAAATAATAAGATCTAGCAGTGGTCTACTCTAGTAATTTTGAGTTATAAGTGCAAAGAATATCTCAAATTAGCGGCTAACAATTATAATGTGACAGGAAAATATCTTGTAGGCAAAGTCACAGCATTGTCTGTTGCCTACCTTCATAATTAAAGAAAATGTAAAATTTCACTTTATGGTTAGTGAAAATATTTAAAAATTCCCATCCAATTCAATTCAAATAATTATTAGTGTTTCCATTATTTTAAAACTTCTATGAAAACAGTATGCTATAGCCCCTAACAGCTTTGGCTCAGTGGATAGAGCGTCAGCCTGTGGACTGAAGGGTCCCAGGTTTGATTTTGGCCATGGGCACATACCTGGGTTGCAGGCTTGATCCCCAGGAGGAGGAATGCAGGAGTCAGCCAATCAATGATTCTCTCTCATCATTGATGTTTCTACGTCTCTCTCCTTCTTCTTTCCTCTCTAAAAAATCAATAAATATATTTAAAAAAACAAACAAACAGTATGCTATAGTAGCAGTAGAAAATTAACATGGAAAAAAGAAAAGCATTACATTTTTAAGTCTGTTTTAAATGTTTAAATCCATTTGTAGCCATCATATGCAATAAAAATAGTAATGAAAAGAGTAATGTGGTTACCAGGGTTTGTGGCCTCAATATTATTACCTGTTAATATTACCCTTTGGTCTGTGTGGGCCTAAACACCCATACAAATGATCATCAAAGAGTGATCCCATAAAAGAAGTTTTATAATATCGTATCTGAACAATAAACATACTTATCCTTCTCTTTTCCTCCACCAAATATGGGATGTAGTAAAACTCCACCAGTTTTCAGCTCATACGCCACAATTTTGTCCAGCTCCTAAAAAAAAAATATGAAAATCGGAGCCAGTGAAAATTTTTTTACATATAAATTTAAAATTGAACTGTTATTTCTCATTTTCTAGAATTAGAATGTAAATTTCTTAAATAAATTAAATGAATTTGAAAAGTAATTTATGTTCTTATAAAAAAAGCAAATTATACCGCTGGCTAAAAGACAGCACCTAAAAGCCTTGTCTACTTTGTGACTTTAGAGCTGGTCAGTATCCTGGTAACTTTCCTAATGGCTCTTCCCAACCTTTCTAGCTGGTTTTCCAAGTTTACGTCTTCCTTCTCTGTATTTGGCTTTGATGGAGAATTTAGGAAAGTAAAAACAAATGGGGATAAAATGATGTCAGGAATCAACATTTTAAAACGCATTGTCTTCTCTAATATGACATACATCAAAGTAAAAAAATAAAAGCTTAAGTGAAAAAAGGACAACATAACTGTGCTAGCAATTCATAACTAGTTAAATAATATACAAGCAGAATAGAGAAGTGGTAAAAATCATAATGAAGTGGTTAAAAGCCAGGTCTAAATCCTGGCTCTACTACTTACTAGCTGTGTAACTTTGGCCAAATAACTTAACCTCTCTGTGCCTCAGTTTCCTCATCTATAAAATGGGGATAATAACAGAGTAGTTAGGGAGATTAAGATAGTTAACATTTATAAAATGCTTATAACAGTGCCCAAAACATGGTAAGTGCTGCATGTCATTTCCCCTTCATCAGTTTCTGAAATGAAGAAAGGACTCTTCAGTTCTAGATGCAGGAATTCTTGGCTGGGGTTTATTTTGAAGGAAAAAAACCAAAACGGGAACAAATACAATATTGTATTTGCATGTGGCCCACGGGCCATAGTTTGGCAAAATACTAGTACAGTTGATTTTTGTCTTTTGGGCCAAATCTTTAAATTACAGGAAAAAAACTAACAATGACAGGAGCATAAATGTACTGAAGGGCTAGCCAGCATATAATAAGCACTTACTATGTACAAGGCACCATGCATGTTACATGTATGATGTCTCATATTCCCCACCCATGGGATAGATACTAATCCTACTCTCCTTATACAGATGAGGCTTGGAAAGATTAACCAAAGTAACAAAGCTTGTAAATGTATGAGGCCAACTGCAAAGCAATCTGACTCTAGAACCTGGACTCTAAGTCTAAACAAATTTAGGAAGCAGAGAGATACATTAAAAATGACTACTATGAGAATTTGAAATATATCTGATAACTAACTTGATGTTTAAGGAGCTTAAATATTCTCTTCCTTAGGAAAAAAAGTTTTTAGAGGCCAACACTGATAATGGAAATGGGATAAAACAGACCATTAGTCTTTCCCATTATAGTCATTCTCAGTTTACTGGAAAAAAAATAGAGACTTTTGAATGACAATAAGTATTTTACAATTATTTTTCTAAAAATGGAAATGTGTTTGGCCAGTGTGGCTCAATAGTTGAGCACTGACCCATGCACCAGGAGGTCGCCGATTCCTGGTCAGAGCACATGCATAGGTTGTATGCTCGATCCCCAGCAGGGGATGTACAGGATGTTTCTCTCATTCATATTTCTTTATCGGTCTCCAACTCCCTTTCTTTTTCTCTAAAATCAATAAAAATAAAATAAAATAAAAAATAAAGGACATGCAACTTTGAAATCATGCAAACATGTCTTACTGACTTCTATGTGGATAATGGATCTAGGTATTTTTACCTCTTTAATCCAATGGCGGTATTCATTAACTCCAAAAGTTTTTTTCATCCAAAGTCCATAAATATAGCCTGAAATTCCCTTCAGTACCCATTCATCAGACCTAAGCAAAAAGTAAAAATATGAACTTTTAATCATAGAAATCCTTCAGATAAAACAGAAGATTACAGGTATAGTGTATACTTCTCTGCCTTCTTAAAGAAAATGAAAGTTATTAATAAATTATTTGTTTTTTTCCACTTCCAGCTGAGTTCTACTTGACCATTCCTGGTGTCTTTTCACATCTGGCTTCACCTTTAACTGTAGGACTGCTGCAGTCTCAGTTCAAGTACAATGTGCCTATGTGTGTTCTCTGGCAGTGCTGCTTCCCTCTAGCCCAACTCTGTCCACACAGTCAGCCTCTAAAATAACAGCCGCATTCAGTTATTAGCAACCCATGTATAATTATCGATGGGATTCCAAGACCTGAAGTTTAATTACTTAATTTTTTAGTTTCTCAAGAAGAAAGGCAACTGATATCATTCATTCATTTATTCATTCATTCATTTGTTCATTCAAACATTTGGTTTACCATGTTCCAGGCTCTACTCTTTAGTGAAACTATGTAATTTCAGAAAGTCAAGAGGCTTTACCCTCTGCCCTCTCTTCTCCAACAAGGGGGGGGAAATAATATTTATAGCACAGAATGGTCACTTATGAATTACAATCTTAAGGGAGTTTCCTGTGTTTCTTCAAATGCATCTTAAATTAATCAAAAAGAAAATAAAAACTGGTGTCTCTTACATCATTCAAATAAATTAGCACAGAACTAGGCACCAGCAGGAAAATTCCGGCATCACTGTCACTATTGTAGAAGACCGTTATTTTGCCTTAAAAATTATCTTGAACATTACCAATTGCACTGAGCACTGACATTAGAATTCTAACTATAGTTTGCTGTACATTCAATTCCCTTTATCTATTCATTCAGTTTAAGAAATTGTTGCTATCAAAATTCTTGCCTTATTCTTATCGCAAATTGCAAAACTAACTATATTGAATTCATGACCAAAATTTAGGATGAAATTTACATTCATTCTTTTTTTTTAAATATATATATATATATAGAGAGAGAGAGAGAGAGAGAGAGAGGAGAGAGAGAGAATACTGTCTTTTAACTACTGCAGTTAGCACAAAGGTGAGTTTACATTGCAAGAAAATAAAATAAAAACAAAATTTCTTGATTCTTCTGCTCAGTATTGTAAACTTTGATATTACTCACCAAGACATTCTGGATATGAAACATCCAAAAAACTGCTGGGCCAAGGACTGGGCTAAACACCTTCTAGTCAAAGGTGTCTCATCAATAATCATGGCACTGTGTAACAGATTTGTGCTGGAATTTTAAAAAGACAGCTATTTATAACCAGGAAAAAAACAATTATTGAGTCAAAATAAGATAATCCCACATCTAATCTAATAAAAGAGAAACATGCAAATTGACTGCACCTCCACTATGCCCAAGCCACGCCCACCAGCTAATCAGAGCGACTATATGCAAATTAACCCAATCAAGATGGCGGCTGGCAGCCATGGAGCTGGAGCAAGCAGGAGGCTTGGTTGCCCCGGTGATGAAGGAAACCAAGCTTCCTGCCTGCCCTGGCCAGCTGTGGCCTCCGCTCAAGGCAACAAAGTTTCAATTATCTATAATAATAAAAGCATAATATGCTAATTAAACAGGACATCCTTCCGGACATCCTTCTGGGATGAAGCCGGGGCTGCAGCTGCTGGATTGAGGCAGGCGCCGTGGCTGCGAGGGAGGGATCTAGGCAGCCTCTCCCACCCCGCCCCTATGACAGTAATGGAGGGATCCAGGCAGCTGGCCAGGGCTGCAATGGAGGGATCCAGGCAGCTGCCTATGGCTGAGATGGAGTGATTCAAGCAACTGCCCACAGCTGCAAGGGAGGATCGAGGCAGTCGCCTCACCGAGGGAGGGATAGAGGCAGCCATGGCTGCGAAGGCCTACTCTTGCACGAATTTCGTGCATCGGGCCTCTAGTAGAAGATAAATAAATCCCAGATACCTACTTCCAGCCAGTCTCCACTGGGAGCTTGGGTGGATGGGGGCCGGGGCCAGCCTGCACACAGCCATCAGCCCCTCACCCAGGCTGGCCAGGCACCGCAGCAAGACCCCCTGTCCCTGAAGGGGGTGTGGCCAGCCTGAAAATGGCTCTCAGACCCTTACCCAGGCTGGCCAGGCACTCCAGCGGGGATCCCCACCCTGAAGGGGGTGTGGCCAGTCTGAAAACAGTCCTCAGCCCCTCACCCAGGCTGGCCAGGCACCCCAGCAGAACCCCCACCCTAATCCGTCCGCTGGCAAGTGGACATCCCCCGAGGGCTCCCGGGCTGCCAGAGGGATGTCTGTCTGTCAGCTTAGGCTCGATCCCCTGGGGAGCGGGCCTAAGCCAGCAGGTTGTCATCCCCCGAGGGGTCCCAGACTGCGAGAGGGCACAGGCCGGGCTGAAGGATCACCCCCACCTCCCCGCAAGCGCACAAATTTTTGTGTACCGAGCCTCTAGTTTAAAATAATAGAATTGAAGTTAGGCAAAAAAGAGAAAAATCAGAATATTCTCCCAAAGAGCTTTCCCATCTTTTCGAAATATAGCTGAAATCCATAATCTTGATATGTTTTGCTTAAAGCAAAGACTACAATGTTTCCCACTGAGTTTCATGAAAAGTATATATACCTTTTGCAGGGGTAAAGGGAAGGGAAGCATATGTTAATAAAAATACTATTCCTCCTATGAAGGGCTCTTGTAATATTTTCCAAGTAATAACTATTAATTTTTTGTGCTCTATTATTTACTTTCATATACACTGACCCATAGGAACCTTCTAACAACCCTCTGGAAAATGCAAGGGCAGGTTTATTACCCCCTTTTTGTTTTTTATTTTATTTTTAATATTTTTATTGATTTCAGAGGGAGAAAGAGGTAGAAACATTAATGATGAGAGAGAATCACTGATTGGCTGCTTCCTGCATGCCCCTTACTGGAGACTGAACCTGCAACCCGGGCATGTGCCCTTGACCAGAATCGAAACCAGGACCCTTTAGTCCGCAGGCCAACACTCTATCCACTGAGTCAAACCAGCTAGGGCAGTGGTCAGCAAACTACAGCTCGTGAGCCATATGCAGTTCTTTGGCCCCTTGAGTGTGACCACGAAGTTTCAATAGCACCGTATGTGCGCACCCACACATGGTATTTTGTGGAAGAGCCACACTCAAGGGGCCGCAATTTGCCGACCACTGAACTAGGGCAAACCCCTTTATAGAGATGAGAAAATTTAGGTCCAGATAGGGTAAAATGATTGACCTTGACACACAAAACTTCTAAATTTAAAACTTTTCAAAGAATGAAACAGAGAAGGCAGAGAGGTAAAGAGAATACAAAAGGAAAGAAAATAAAGTTCTCTTTTCCTTTTTTCTTACAAAATAATTTCTGAAAATATAAATGAATTTTGAATAATGCTAAGAAAAATCTCTCACTAGTTATTCACAAAATAACTTAAATGATTTTTAACTGCATAAGCAGAAAAGACTTTCAAAAAATAAGTAAAATATTCCCTCTTCTGTAATAATTTCAAGATTATGTGCCTATAGAATAAAACAAAATATTTAAAGCCAGAAAAAAAATCTGCCATTTTCAAGAATTAAACATCTATAAGTGCATTAAGTTAAATGAGAAATTTAGGACACTTTTATTTCCTTCTTTGCCTTTCCTTCATCTTAAATTTTTGTCAAATAATTATATATTTTATGATTTACTTTTTTCTCTTAAAGACATTTGCATTTTGTTTCATAATCATGTTCCAAAAAATGATTTAAACATTAACTGTTCTTTTTTTTTTGACATTAACTATTCTTTACTGGCTTAATTATTTACCAATGGTAGTAAATAGGCATTAACTATTCTTTAATAGTTAATGGTTGTTCCTTTTGTACCCTCTTCCATTTTTGGTTTCTTCCTTTAGACTCATCTCAATTGACTGATGGACCTTTGGGGGCATTGTCAGGCTGATTATGTGAGTTCTTACATGTCGAGAAGGTCTTTCTCTTAACCCATCTATACTAATAAAAGGGTTATATGCTAATTAGACCGGACATCTTCCAGACATCCATCCGGACAGAGCCACTCTATACTAATAAAAGGGTTATATGCTAATTGGTGACCAGGCTGACAGGGGAGGGCAGTTAGGGATGACCAGGCTGGCAGGGGAGGGTGGTTAGGGGCAACCAGGCCAGCAGGCATAGGCGGTTAAGGGTGACCAGGCCGGCAGGCAGAGGCGGTTAAGAGCAACCAGGCAGGCAGGTAGGGGAGCAGTTAGGGGCGATCAGGCCAACAGAGGAGCAGTTAGGGGCATCAGGTCAGGCAGGCAGAGTGGTTAGGGGTGATCAGGCAGGCAGGCAGGTGAGCGGTTAGGAACCAGCGGTCCAGGATTGCGAGAGGGGTCCCAGATTAGAGAGGGTGCAGGCCGGGCTGAGGGACCACCCTCCACACCAGGCAGGCAGGTAGGGGAGCAGTTAGGGGCGATCAGGCCAACAGAGGAGCAGTTAGGGGCATCAGGTCAGGCAGGCAGAGTGGTTAGGGGTGATCAGGCAGGCAGGCAGGTGAGCGGTTAGGAACCAGCGGTCCAGGATTGCGAGAGGGGTCCCAGATTAGAGAGGGTGCAGGCCGGGCTGAGGGACCACCTCCCACACCCAATGCAAGAATTTCGTGCACCGGGCCTCTAGTATATGAATAGTATGGTAACTATGTACAGAATTCTTTGTAATTATTGCTCCTAAAAATTCAATAGGCATTGATTCATTGTAGAATTTAGTTACATAAATAAAGTTTGGGAAAAGTCCACTTTTTTCTTTGTGTGTAACTTGTTTCCTTCCTATTTAGATACTGAAATGTTTTTCCTTTATCCTTGAAACTTGAGATTTCATAAAGATGTACAGTCCCTTTATATTCATTTTATCCCTTAAATCTGATGGCTTGCAGTTTCCTTCATGTCAGAGAAATGTTCTTCTATTATTTCTTTGATTTTAAAAGTAGTAGATTACAGAAAATAGTTAAAACAAAATCTTTAACTAGAATCTTTAAAAAAAATTTCGTTTGGTTTTATTGAGATAGAACTGACATACAGCACTGTATAAGTTTAAAGTGTATAGCATAATGACTTGATTTACATAATTCCAAAATGATTATCACAATAACTTTAGTTAAAATTTATTACCTGGTAGATAGGGTTACAAGAAAAAAAAAAGAGAGAGAGAGAAATGTTATTTTCCTTGTGATAAGAACTTTTAATATTTACTACCTTCACAACTTTCAAGTACACATTATATCCTCAATACTTACTTATAACAGAAAGTTTATACCTTTTAACCACCTTTATACAATGCCCCCACTTCCCACCCCACCACTGATAACCACAAGTCTGATGTCTTTTTCCATAAGTTTTATTTTGTTATAGATTCCACATCTAAATGAAATTATATAGCCTTTGTCTTTCTCTGGCTTAACTAGAAACTTTAAATGAGTATATAAAATGCTCATTAGTGGTTGGCTCACAATGGGCTCAGTAAATATATGTAGAGTGAGTAATGAATGAATGAATCTTTTTGCTCCTTCTCTTTTTGTGCTCATCTTCTTCCTGTTAAACAAATGTTGTATCACTTATATTCTCTGTCTCTTATGTTTTCCCTCATCTCTTTAGCCTTTTCCTCTGATATCTAATAGAAATTTTCAAGCTAGTTTTCGAATATCATTTGGTTTTATGCTATTGATGGTTTATACTTTCTATATTTTTAATAGTGATTTTTCATATAAAAGGAATTTTTATAATTGAAATGTCATACATTCTTTTCTCATACATGCAATAAAAACTGTAGAAACTGCCCAGCTTTGTGGGTTTGATTCCAGTAGGGGGCATACAGGAGGCAGCTGATTAATGATTCTCTCTCATCATTGAGGTTTCTACCTCTCTCTTCCTTCTCCCTTCCTCTCAGAAATCAAGAAAAATATATTTAAAAATAAATAAATAATTATTTTTAACAATTGTAGAAACTAAAAAAATATATATAAAACATTATTAGCAACTAATTCTGGATGAAAACAATATGAATCTTTTGCGTTATTATAAAAATTTTCTTTATGCTTTTTTATGTTCTTTAATTTTAAAAACACTAGATTTTCTACAAAGCCAATCATGTCTAAATTAAAGAAAAAATACAGAACACATCTTAAAATTGATCATACAATAACTATTTCAAATTTAAAGAAATACCAACCTAAAAATGCTCATAGAAGCATAAGCAGCCACTTCAACATAAGCCTCATTGATGAATACAGTCTTAAAGCAGGAGTATGGGTATCGACATGTAAGAATTTCTTCATAAAATTCAAAAACTTCATGAAGATATGATGTGGTATGTTTAAGCAATGGAAGAAGTTGGGGTAAACAAAAATGAGTAACCTGAAAATAAAAGCAAGAAAGAATATCCTAAATAAGTTAATTTTATATTTTAAATTTCCTAAATATCTCAATTATAGATAAACTAGAGGCCTGGTGCACAAATTCGTGCACGGAGTGCGGGCGGGGGTGGGGGAGACTGTGGGAGGTTGGCCAGCTGGGGGAAAGGGACTGCGGGAGGTTGGCTGCTGGCCCCAAGGAGGGAGCTGGCCCTTGGCCCCCCTGGGAAAGGGGCCGCGTCCATTGTCACCCACCCCTGCTTCCCTGTCCCAGTCCGGCCCGAAGACCCCAACGGGTTGGGAGAGGAGGCAATGGTTGCCAGGTGTGGAAGGAACAGATGCTAGACACTAATGTCACCATCGGTGCCCTGCCACCGTGTGGTTCCCTGCCTCCCCACCTCCTTCTTCCCTTGCAACTGTGCCACTGTGGCAAGCAGGCAGCCCCCGGGGAACAAAGAGGACAGAGGACAGGAGCGAGACAAACCCTTGTGTCAAGGGCTGACTTTCAATAGATTGCAGTGAGGAAGCTGCTCTGCTATGTATGAAACCCTGACCCAGAAGCACGTCTCTACGAATGGTTTAGCATCAGGGGCCGATGGGGGCTGGCCAGCCAGGGGGAGGGGCCATGGGAGGTTGGCTGTGGGAGCGCACTGACCACCAGGGGGCAGCTCCTGTGCTGAGCGTCTGCCCCCTGGTGGTCAGTGCATGTCATAGCGACTGGTCGACCAGTTGTTTTGGTCGTTCAGTTGTAACAGTCACTTAGGCTTTTATATATATAGATGTTCATACAGGTTCTTTTTTCTTTTTTACAAATTCATGGTACTGAAAGAAAATGCTTGTGTGAAATTAGAGATTACTTTTACTATATGTATAAAATATCTATTGTACTTAAAAATCAAATTCATGATGGATTATAAATCTATAAAATGCTTAGAACGAATGAAAATAAAACTTTGTTTTTAAATTAAGTAAAAAATTCTCCTGCATACAAAACAGAAAAGATGTGCATTTCAAAGACTTACAGATCTATCAGTAATTCAGAAATACCTAACCCAGTGAACACTGGACATGTCATAGTATTATCTTAATAATTAATAGTCAATGTTAATCATACTATCTTTACTGCACATAGAATGTCCTCGACTATCTCAACTACATATTGAAAGCTGCAGGGAGCTTATTGCTTGCTAGGAAATAAGAAATGCCTGCAATAGAAATTCTGATTTCCTTATTAGGCTACATCACACCTTGGACATGACACACAAATATCACATTCCATCTTGTCTCAATTTATGATTCTGTGCCAAATGAATGGCATCAACAGTGACAGAGATCAGCCTTGATAGAATGAGCTGGCAATGTTTCAGGCAGGAGACTGAATATAAGCTAATCTTTTTGAATTGGACAAAAGTCTGATAGGTAAGGAGAGGAAAAGAGGACATTCCAGATAGTGTCAGAAATAGGGTATGATTAGGAAAATCTAAGTAAACTATCTATATTGAATATAACAAACACAAATAGGAATGTATTAGAAAAAAGCTAGAAATGAATATTAAGGTCAAATTTTAGAAGATCTTGAAAGCCATGCTAACAAGTTCTGATTATTGCAGGAATGTGGAGGAAAAGAAAATTTCAATGTGTGATGAAAATTATTCTTCTGATAGCATTATAAAAAAATAGAGTAGAGACTACCATAATAAGGAGGGATGAATATCCATATATTATTAATGGACAGGGCCCAAATTGCATCCTGATCAACACTCCTATTGGTACACAAACAAAAAAAATACTACTCACCAAAAAAAGAATTCACTTTCAGACAAATCTACATGATAGCAAATCTACTGATATTGGGGCAAAAATTAAAACTATTTGAACCCAGCTGGTATGGCTCAGTGGTTGAGCATCAACCCTTGAACCAGGAGGTCAGGGTTCGATTCCTAGTAGGGGGCATGCAGGAGGCAGCCGATCAATGATTCTCTCTCATCATTGATATTTCTCTCCCCCTTTCCCTTCCTCTCTCTGAAATCAATAACACACACACACACACACACACACACACACAAACTATTTGAGATAAAAAGACTAAGACGTGAGCTCTAAGCATTTGAGAAAAATACCTGACTGTCATTTTCCTCTCTCTCATCCAATGGCTCAGCGTGAGAAAAAATTCTTCCAAAATACAAAGTAAGTACTAATCAAATGTTGATTTTAAAGTTGATCATTTACCAACGATAATAAAATTCATTGCCAATCTAATCAGCAAATACGCTTTTAAGAGACATTGTCAAGACAGTTTTTAAAAGTAAAACTATTCCCAAAATATTGTGAATATTTTCCATGAGTGATTTCAAAAATCCTGTGAATTTTAGAAAAGCAAACAAGAGCAGGGCAAGGAGCTAACAGTCTAATTCTAGTTGCCCCCATTTTGGCTCACATAACTCAAAGAAATGCTATTGAGATATACATGGTCACAGTATAAGCCTTATATTAAAAATAATAATAACTAAAATTAAAAACATAAAGAACTAATAGATTTTGGATTTTGGTAAATAATAGATTCATTCAAATGTTACTTTAAAAGTGTACTGTACCAGAGGATCAATAGCCAGTGAATTACTTTCTCACTACAAGCAGTCTCATGCTTGGGGAGACCTAAAAGCACTGTGGCCTCTCAATTGACAAATGATTTGTCACAAAATATGGGATGGGGGGAAACTGGAAGAAGCCTTCATGAGTTTGTTGAGCAGAATTCTAACCCTGTCTCATCCTTTTCTCTTTTCCTCTGTATACTGAAGTGAGAACCAAATCTTGCTCTTTAATTTTGAATTGCAATTTTTCAGGTCCAGAGATGTTTATAACATTCATAAACATATGCCAAACAAAAAGATGACATTATTAATGCACATAATTAGTTACCAAAATTAGCCTATATACTCTAATCAATATATAATTGAAGCTCTTTTGAATGTGAAGACCTCTGTTGGAAAAAATCTGAAATTTTATTATGACAATATTTTGAAAGGAATTCACATCATTAAATATATATCAGACAAGTAAACCTTTTCTCTAGAATGATATTCTTGACAGTTAAAAGAAGAGTTAAGAAAAACTTAGTATTTCATTTATATCCTTCTTTTTCTCAAGAATGAAAGGGCTAAAGGGGAGAAAGGAGCAAGAAGCCATACCTCATGCATATATGGATCTACAAGTATTTCAAAAGGTCCAATGGCCAAGGCGATATTTGACGCAGCTGTTGGAATGGTAAGCATGTAATGGAAGGTCTTCTTCCTCATATCATGGGTATACACTGTCTCCACCAAATCACCATTGGAAACAGCCACCATCGCAGCATCTACTGTAAATTCTAATTTCCATGTACATAATTCAGAGTATGAGTCAACACATGGGAACCAAAATCTAGAAAAAATATCAACAATATAAGAAATATGTTGAAAGTGTAACCAAAATTGCTTTACCCACATATAAATTACTTTTACAATTCATAGAATAACTACAATAAGAAACTTTAGCTATTTGAATACTGAAGTTTTTTGTTACTGTGTAATGTGGAAGAATTTTATTAAAGACAGAAACTTGTCTCCAAATATTATCTGGCAATATTAAGTAAATGTATCTTGTGGTACCTTCAGTTTAAACCCTAATAAGAGGTAAGCAATTCTCAGTTTGCAATTTTAAAAATTAAAATAAATTTCATTTGTATATTCATATAAGTTAGTTTTGATGTAGCACTCATTTCCAGAAACTAAAAATACTGATAATGAATTTTTAAAAATACAATTAATATTCAGAATCTATTTCGTAAGTTAGAAAATCGCTTTCTTGGAGTATGTGATGCATTGTATAAATTCAAACAGGGCTGGTAAAGCCATACATAAATTTCTAGTTGACTTTCTATCAATTCAGGTCAGGTTTTATTATGTGCCAGGGTCTATAAGTAGCACTGAAACACAAAGAAATATAAGATATCATCCCTGGTTTGGAGGAGTTAAAAATCTCAGAAGAAAATGCATACCATAAAGTAGTATTTCAACAACATGTAGTGAACTACAGAACTACAATTACAATTACACACAATCAAACTAAATCTCACTATCATAGTGTTCAACAAAGAAAGCCAGATATAAAGAACATAATGCATATGCTTCCATGTATATCAAGTTCAAAAACAGGTGTAATTAATCATGGTATTTTAGAAATCAGAGTTGATTACCCT